GCGGCACCGGGAGGCACCGGGCAGCGGCGGCGGCGCGGAAACGCCGCACCCCGCACGGCCGCCAGGGGGCGCCGCCGCGGGCCCGCGTGCGCCGCCGTGCGCGCTCCCGCGGGCAGCGAGGGGGCGGGAATGGAGGGGATTCGGAGGGAAAGGGCCGGGAAGGGCACTGCTGCCGGTTTAGAGCTCAGCTTGAGCTTCGCCCGGCGGAGCTGCAGAGCCAGGGTCAGGCCTGCCCATCCCTCATCCCAAGCTGGCCATTCCAGCAGACAGTATCTGCCTTCCCTCCGTCCCAAAACAAGGGCATGGGAGTGAGGTCCTCAAATAACTGCTCAGGCTTAGAGGCCACCTCTTCATCTCCAGCTCAAAACATTTCACTAAGCCATTGCAGAGGGATATTTTCCTTAGGGTATGTAGGACAAGGCGATGCTGAAGATGCCTCTCATAGCAAGAGGTCATTGCGTAGGTGTTCCTGTACATCTTTGCATCACTGCACTGATGGACGAGCACCAACCTCGTCTGAATGCCAAAACAGGTCCACGATGTAAACACGGAAGAAGATTTTGAAGGAAGCCTGAGCTGTCCCAGCTGGCTGTTTCCTGCTGAATAAAGCTGATTCTGTAACTGAGATGTTACAGAATGAAAATGGTTTTCATTGGCAGCTTGGCTATTACGTGGTATGTTGTGATCAGCGTGACGTTTCATGCCAACTGCAAACTCGCTGAGAGGCTGGGGAAAAACCTAACACTGAAGCCCCAGTAGCCAAGGCTATACTGGTAGGAGTTGCTACCTGGCAGCTGGCTCCAGTCTGTCTCCACTGCCCTGGCAGCAAGGTGACCACGCAGTGAGAAGTGCTCCTGCTCGCTGTGTGTCGGTATGTTGATGGTGTCATGTCATCTGTTCCCTGCAGGAGCCTGGGGTTGCAGTGCAGAAGGATGGGATAAGCCAGGAATTAATTCTTTCCACTTTTGCAGCCTTTTGACTTATGTTCTGAATTGCATCAAACACCTCCCTTTTGCTAAACCACCCAATATTTAAAACAAAATCCAAACAAAACTAGAAAATAAAAGTGCAAAGTTAACCAGGTTAGCTCCCTGCCCTTGTGAAAACTAAAGGATTCATAGTGCTTGGCTGAAGAGAACACCCCATATTCAAGAAGTGATCCAAGTTGTGACAGGTAGTGGATAATTAGAAGAACATGGGGAGTTTCACAGACATTAATGTTCTCAGTGACAGCAGACTGAACTGGCAAATATACATTTGACAAAGTGATGTAAACGGTAGCAGATCACCTTAGTCAGACGGATAGAAGAAGGAGCTGCATAAGAGCGTCCTTACAGATTCTTCACACGTGCAAGAGCTGATTGCCAGTGCCATTGCTGTGTCAGTATCTTTAATGTTTTATCTTTGATGTTGGCTCAGCACACTCTAGGACCTATGGTTTCTGCATAGAAGCAACTCTTTAGGCTGCCTTGGGTTGCCAGGCTGTCTCCAGGTCATGCAGAGGAAGAAACATCCACAGAAACAGGAGGGGAAATCAGTGGAAGATCTATAAAGGGATGCTAACTTATGAAAGATCTGCTAAAAATGTGCTGAGCACACTGAGTTTGTGTGTTGCATTTGGTAAAAAGCTACACAGAAAATTGTCTGTATTGTAGACTCAGACATATAAAGGATTATAAAAGGCATGTCTGGGCTGAGCTGTCTGCTCCATGGAGAGCATAGGTAGAGCTTTCCCAGCCACAAAGCACTGCAGGGACTGCAGTGAAGTGCAGCAAGTGGAGCATCAGACACGGGAGACTTCAGTGTGAAGTCCAACTCATGAACACATGAACTGATGATATGAAAGAAAGAACCAGGAAGCTACTCAGGAGCAGCTTGTCCTGGAACAGTTCACCAAATATCCTATCTCTTTTAGCAGATATTGCACATGCAGTTTCTCAGTTGTAGTGCGTGCTTTTTTAAAGGGGGAAATATCTGGATGATTGACCAGTTCAAGAGATGGCAACTAAGTTCTCTATACTGAACAAAGACATAGATTCCACTGAGCTTCTAGGGACTGCAGATTTTGATTTGGCTAAAAAGTAATCAGAACGAGAGCCTGGAGAAATTTAGCCCTGGAAGATTATTTGGTTTGGGTTTTTTTCTGCCTACAACAGTACCTGATACTGTTTGTGATACTGTCATCTACATTAATAAGCAAATTCCCTCAAACAGCAGTCAGCCCTAGTATATCCCTCTTCTTTTTCCATCTCCTTGGCCACATATTGCTTGCTGTGCTAAGTGCTAAATGGCTCTTGGAAAGTGCTAAGAGGGTGTCGAGAAAGGGCTAAGCCCAGTTTCACAAACAACTGCCTGTACAGAGAAATAGTCCCATTGATAGGTGGTGCCAGGAGGCCCAGCAGTAATCTGGTTGAAGACCCTTGTTTTGACAAGGCTGGAGAACTGAACCTCACAATTGCCTTCTTAAGATAATTTAAATGAGACCTTTTCATCTTGTGGAAGTGACCCTAACTGAAATGAAACCACTGGATGCTTTGTTAGAAATATTTGACAAGATCAGTGTGTTCCTGCTAACCAGATCAAGTTTCTACTCTGCCTGCTCCACCAGAAACCACCTCTGCCATCAGTCCCAGCACCTGATAATTCTCAGAAGTGAAGAGTAGTTCCTGGAAGTCAATGGGAACAAAGCCCAAGGCCCACTGGGCCTGTTGTGAACTTAGCTTCTGAAGACACCCGGCAAAGTCAGGAAGAATCCAAAGTATTTATACTACAAAGAGGCACCGAGTTGCCAGTGCCAGTTCAAACATTCTCCAGCTAAACACCATTGTCCGACCATCATCGGCCAGGAAAAAAATGGACTGATGTTTTTTATCTTCTCCAACGAATGGCAGCATTTTGGGGCCACCAACAAGCATTGGCCAGTGCCTAAACTGCAACCTGCAGGTAGAGGAGAAGATCCACCATACAAGAAGCCACTTACTTGAACGAACTTTTCAAGGAAGGGGAGCGGGTGTGGTCTTTCAAGTGAACTGGTTTCCTCGGTGAAACCAGCTCAGTCTGTGGTTGCAGCATGTTTATCTTCTTAAGTGTTGGAAGATGTGGCTCTTGCCCTGTGTGCACATGAACTGGGATCACAAGACACCTCTTTGCACTATTAGTCACTGTCACTTGGGGGATCTCTGTGACACTGGGATGTGGCACATGGGTTTACTCCAGTGAGGGCTGGTATAGACTGGCTTCCAGCCCAAGTAAGCACACACTCTGTGACTAATGGGTAAAGTTACTTATTTTAAATCTAAGCCAAAAGGTTTGCAAAAAAAAAACCAAAAAAACCCCTTCTTTAGTTAGTGATTATTTTGTTTATTTTATGGGATGCTTCAGATGCTATGAATTTCTGTATAAAATAGATGTAGCATCATGAACATTGAGGGTTGCCTTGATAATTGTTTTAATTTTGTAATTAAATTTTGCAATTACTGCAGGTTAGATGCTTGCTAATACATTTAAATCAGTCCGATGAATTGGTTTTTTATACTAACAACACATTGTCAAAGCACATGCTTCCCTTAAGAAGCATAGCATCTGTAACTGTTTTACTGAGCTATTTGGGTTTGGAAATGTGTTTATTATGAAAAATGCCACGGAGCCCGTTATATCCTATGTAGTGTTTGCCATGTAAGCTATTTATAAGGCAAGCTATTTATAAGGAAAGCCATTCATAAGGAAAGTTAGTTAGAGTTATTTATAAGGAAAAACTAGGCTCCTCTCATTTTATAGTTGGAGATGTTGTGGCACAGGGACACATGAAAAGTTTTCCCAGTGTCATGCAGCAAGTCCAATTAGTCCCAGCTCCCCCTACCTGTCTACTCAGCCATGGTGCTCTTTGTTCCTCTCCCCCCACTCCACAGCAAACAGGATGGTTCAGTTTTCTTGCATTCTTCAAGCTATGGTCTACTGCAGGGGACATAGCTTCATGAGTAATGATGGATCTCCATAGAGCTTCCCAGATTCCCAACTTTTACGAGAATCCTATGTTTCTTGATTGATTTTCAAGACCAACGTACATCTGCTAATCCCATTTTGTCCAAAATAAAGGTGATATTAGTCACTAGATTTGGCCGGTGGAGGTTAGCAAACCCATATTTGCCACTCACCATTGGCTAGGTTTTCCTTCTCCTACTTGAGAAACAGGGTGAAAAACTCAAGGGGTTCCAGAATTTTTCTGCGTTTTTGGTTGTTTTGTTTCCTCAATGAAATTCAAAGCTCTGGAATTCAAAGAAAGTGCAACCAGCTCTAGGGAAAATTGAAAACGTGGAGGAAAATATTGTCATTTTTTCCCCCACTTAAATCGTAACAGAGACTAGTAGCTACTGAAACAAAAAATGTCCACATGAATGTAGGCAGACAAGCAGAGACCTCCTGCAATGACAAGGACTTAGGCACTTTATATTGCCTCCCAGGATCTTCTCATCAGGATGTTCAGAAACAGCTCAACAGGAAAAGCTGGGGGCATAATTCATG